CTGCCCTCCCCATCCTGCCTCCTTCATCCACTCACTAGTTTCTCAAAACTTAAATGTGTATTTTTTATTTGTTATAATTTAAAATGTTGGGAGTTTAACTGAGGCTAGCAAATAGTTTAAATCTTTTGAAAAGACGTTTAGTGGAGAGGTTATTAGCAAAGAATATCTTACCTGCTTTAGACAGCTTTTTGAACAACCTCAGTTTGGAGAAAYAAGAGTTTATTTCTGAATGAACACACGAGGTAACGATTTGTCTAAGAGGGGCCAAGTTCAACATGGTGGTTGCCGTTTTCAAACAATTTCAGTCTCAAAAAATGTCATATCGGTTCATGCAAATGCTACTTTGGTTTTGGCTAGCTGCTAGCTCACGCATTTGAGGCCATTCAAAGAGGTATTTACAGCAGGCAATGTATTAATTGTTCATAACCTTTACACATAACCTCACATCAAAGATCTGAATGTGGTGATAGATGATTAAAAGCGCTCAATAAAACTCATAAAATTTCTGTGTTCATATGTACAAATCAGGACGTTTCCCAGTTGCAGTGAGKTTAAAACATCCACATCCATGCTTCTCTGAAGACCAAACCGTTTCTTTGAATTAGCCCAAACCAAACGTGTTCTGAAGTAAAAGAGTCTGGATGTGAAGCAGAAGGATGTTTGAGCCACACAGGAAATACACCGCTCATGAAAAAAAAAAAACACCAATAAGTCTGATAACAAGAGGAGATTTATGAACGCGGCTGCTGTGTTGCTAATTACGGCTCGTTGTGTACGTGTGGGAGTGTGTGCGGGTTCTTTTATTATGTTGTTTGTTTTCCACTTCATCAAATCAAGCTGCCTGCATGTGGACTAAAATAATTTAAAAAAAATAAATATAAAAAAACAACACGTGGACGCTCCACGAGCAAGAAATACCGCCAGACGTGCAAATTGTAATTCTTTGCAATTAAAAAAAGAAAAAGCGCAGAAACGATCTAATTAAGCGGAGGGTTTTTTTTTTTTCGAGGCGTCGCTTCTAAATTCTCCGTCCTCTGCACCGTGACGACGGGCATGGCGAAACTGCGACGCGTTTGCCCTTAAAAATGCCACCTCGTCAATGCTAAAAAGCCGCTGGCTTTTTTCTTTCTTTCTTTTTTCCTCCTATCTCGTTGCTTCCTGCATGTCTCTGGGGGCGATCGCTGCAATTAACACACTAGCAGTAATTAACACTGTCTTGAGGCGACCAATGGCGCGGAAAGGATTGGGGGCAAACATGAAGCGGGGGGAAGGTGCAGCTCTGGCTGTCCACGATCCCCCCCCCCTCACCACCACCACCTCGTTCAGCTTCCATTTTGTGCCAGTCTTAACACCTAAGATGGTGGCAGGACTGTGACTTGCCATGCGGGAGAGGAGGACAAATTGACAAGGGAGGGGTCAGCGAAGAGGAGGATTATGGGATTGAGGAAGGAGTCGCTTATTTTCATTCTTCTAGAATCTAGTTGGTGCATTACGGTTACCAAGACGGGGGGRAAAAAAGAGGGGAGGGAGCAAAAAGGCATGATCGTCACATCACATCGCTGTCCTACATGCTGTGTACACACTCAGGAGGAAATCACGCACACACACATACACACACACACACACACAAAGACTTAAACACACATGCAAACACATCACAGAAAAAACAACAAACTCCTGGTATCAGTCTGTTTGTTTAAAAAAAAGAAAAAAACTAACGTGTAAATTAACATGTGTTTAAAACGCCACTCACACATGTGCCCACACACACACACACACACACACACACACACAAATCAGACCCACAAACACAGCCGTTCTCATGGTATGGTCTGCCCCTGAGCATGCAAATGACATTCATTATGCAAATGCATACAAATCAGAACCAACCATCTGAGAATCTGAGCTGGGGAAAAAAACAGAAAGAATGAAATTAAATGATTGAGGGGGTGGGAGGGNGGGGGGGGCAGAAGAAAAGGTGGACAAAGTACAGCGTTGCTTTGAGGCGTGTGGTCAACAGAAATAAATTATAACCTGTTCATTAGGACGTGGACGGACTTTGTTCGACTAAAAAGGATAAATCACCGTTGTTCACTCTGCTGCCTTGCATGAAATAAATATCATTAACACTCAAACAGAACAAAAATCCTAAATTGTGTCAACTTTCCAAACATTTACTTTGAAACATTCATTCTTTGCACTCTTTCTTTTTAAAAAGCACAAAATAAGGCAGGGTGTTTTTCCACACTAAGCTCTGCCTTGTTCTTTTACTACAGCAATTTAACACATAATAAGGTTTTAAAAGCCTAAAATGGATAGAAATTCAGAGCAAAGTGTGCCTGAAGTGTCGTTTAATTTCTTCTACGAGCCACGAGCTCAAATTAAATCCTTTTTCATGCAGTTTTAATGAAGCCTATCAGGTTTAAGGTGAGGTTTTCAGCTAAAATGCGATGACTAACATACAAACGGTGTTTTTTCCTCCCTGCCTGCCATGATGCCATGCTGTCATGCTAAACGCTGCTTTAGGACGAACGGCACAAAATCAACTGCAGAGCAGCTCCGACTGGAGTGGAGATCCTCCAAAACGAGGCAAAGTGCTGCTAATTGCCTCTCGAGCTGGTCTTTGTTTTGTCTCCACCTCTGCCTCTGCAGGACGTGCTCTCTGAAACCCAAGAAGAGCTGCAATCTCATTACAAGCCTTTATGAAAGGTATCATAAGTGAAGCCAAACGCTTGATGAGTCTGAATTAATATTCATGTGAAAAGAAGAGGAAAAAATCCACATGTAAATATAGAAATTAGCTGTTAGAGATGCATGAATACGTCTCGTTTTACAGACGTCTGCAGCGAGGCAGGTGTCTAAATAATCTATATTAGAACAGAATTTAGCTAAAAAGGAAGAAACCAAGAACAAAATAAGTTTGTAGAGTTTGCAAAACAAAAAAAACTGATTTATACATCTGTAAGATATTATTTGAGACAGAACTCATTTTTTCTTCCAGGTGTAGCAAAGCTTTCTTTTTATGAAAATACTGTAAATAATGACACATCTCAGACATACCTTTCTAACCTTTTCACACATCGTCTATATATCTGTACGACATAATTAATTTACCTGAAAAGGTTAAAACAAGCCCTGAGAACTGACCCTGAAATGCTTCATCGAGAGTTGCAGCTTTTAATAGTCTAAATAAAGATTTAATTATAATACGTCAACTTCTTAAACAGGTGCTAAGGATTGTATTGTGCAGAAAAATGTGCATTTTCCAGGAGGTAAACTGTAAATTTTGGACGGAAACTATAAAAAAATGTACAGATTTAACACATTTTCCAAAAKAAATTTAAGCTTTGAGTTCATCTTTGATTTACAGTTTAGTTTATTAACTATAAATGCTAACATGATCGCCCAAGAATAAGGATGAATGTTAATTAATTTGTTATTTTTACCCATATTGTGCACAAAGACCCTCCCCCCCTTAGTAAAATCAGCTCTTGTGTAACGCAGCACCATTACCTTTGTGTTATTTGTTAGCAGCTGTGTCTTCAGTCAGGTTTGCCGCTTCGCTCTGTTTTGTTATTGTTTTTGTTCTCAGCTTCCAGCGCAGGCATGTAATGGGATTCTTGTTACTTTCGGTTATCTAGCTTTATGAAGAATGTACGTCACTCATACAGCTAGATAACCAAAGATAACAGACAACCCCTCTGGCCTGCAAAACACACCGCTCTTCTGCAGAAACCCTCCTGGGTGCACCTGGGAGGACAAAAACAGGGATGAGGGAGAGGAAAACACGACAGGGGTTAATTCACTAAAAAAAATAAAGTTAATTTACTCAGAGGTGTGAATTAAAACACACGACTGATCAAGTGAAGGCGACTGAGGAGCCTGCAGGAAAAATGCATCATCCGAGCAATTAAATGCTTTATTTTTATGAATAATATTCATAACTGCAAAGTGTATGTTATTAGAATTTAAAGCAACTGACTATTTTGGTAAAAATATATTTAAAAAATGATCCTAATGAGGCGGTTCAGAAGCTGGATAAATGATCCAATTGAGTCCAAAATGTTATGACGTGCACTAAATTTACTGCAAATAAATGCAACCAGTCAGTCCTTATTTATGTTTAATTGATGTTCTTACAAAACCAACATATGTTTTATAGACATGCGAAAATAAAACATTTTTAACTGTTTACCCTGTTTCTCTGACAGAAAACAATACGAATGGTTGGATATTCTGAGTTGTTTCAAATCTCCTTTTTTTATTTAATGAATTTATGTCTTAAGTTCATCTTTATCCACTGCTGCAGTGATGTGAATTTACCTGCTGATGAGAGAATAAAAGTTTATTTTATTATGTTCTATTCTGTTTTAGTCTACTTTTATTCCTACTTTAATTTCCATTCTTTATTCAAATTAATTTTAAAATGTAAAGATGAACATTTTCAGAGCAATCTAAGCTTTTGATTTTTTATTTTATTTAATATTTTTTACAGATAGCAAAATATTCACCTGATACATAAATATCAATTTTATATTACTGTTAAATTTTTTTTAAAGCTGATATTTGTTTCAACATTTGAAACTAATGAGATGTGAAAATATTTGATGTTCATTTTTAGAAAAAAATATATCACAGAAGCTAGAAGCTTTAACTGTAAATAAAATAAATGTTTCTGTGTATTTTTTAACATGCTCTCATTGTTGTTGGTTTTAATTGGCTTTTAGCAACAGAGGAGGATGACGTCACCGGCGCTGTATGTGTGTGTGTGTGCGTGTTAGCTGTGAGGTGTGATGCCTAATTAACACACACAGACTCCAACATGTCATTATGGAGGAGATGTGTGTGTGTTTTATCCAACGTGGCGAAATTAGGCCACAGCTCCCACCCTCACGTCAAACTCAGCAGCTGCAGGACGCATGCGCGCTGGAAACGTTTCAAACGAAATGAACCCGAATTAAAGACGTTTTGCACGAGTTTTATTGTTCTGTTGATCAGAGGAACAGAACTCAGAGTTCGGATTTTACTTGGATCACTCTTGTGAGTTGTGCGTCTTGAGGCCACGAGACGCGTTTTATGTCTACTTAAACACACAGTGAGTTTTTCTTTTTTAATGCAAAACATTAAAAAATATTTACCTTTTGTTTTTTATTTTATTTTGTTCCTTCTGTTTGCTGTATGTTGCTTTTTTTTTTTGCATTATAAGATATCACTCTCCAAATCGGAGGCTAATATTAATACTATTAATAATAATAATAATTATTATTATAGTTAGTTTTATGTAAATTTGTTTTGTTTGACAAATATTTAAAACCGAGAGAAAAATTAGTCAAACATGACATTATTTCAATTCTTTTAAAATAAATTGTCCAACTTTATAACATGTTCTAGAGGTTTTTTTTATAGAATCCACTCTCAGGTGCTCATTTTAAGCTTGCCAGCTCTTTAGACGACGTTTTATCCACATTTTCTCATTTTTAATCCCAATACTTGAGGATTTCCTGTTTTTAGACCAGTAAATTTGTTTGTAAAAATAAATAAAAGCACAGGATTTTTAAAAAATCCTCTCAAGTTTCTGTTCGACAGAACCTGGCAGAGACACAGGTTATATTTACTGCTTTAGAACCATTAAAAAACTGTTAGATGGAGAAGTTTAAGTCCGTGTAAAAAGTTTATTTTAACCATAAGTTCCGGGTGTTAAGTCCCTGTAGTGCGCTTATAAATGGAAACTGCAGAGTCATGGTGTGAGTGCAGTCATTCACCTGGAGGTCGGAGGATATCTTCATTTTCATTTCTGCAGCTATAAGAAAAACAAAACAACACAAACTATAAGAAATCTGTGATTAGTTATCCATCAGGTTCACTCAGACGGATTTGGAAATGACTGTTCCTCTTCTCTAACCCACCGCGGCCCGTCGCCCAACTCTGCAGCGGCCTTCTTCCAGAGCTGCTGATGCTCAAAATAAATAAAGAAATAACTCCCACAGCTTTCAGGTAAACCACAGCAGAAAGCCTCTCCGCCTGATCTGACCTGCTGCAGGTCTGAGTGCCTTTAAGTTGCATGAACCCTCCAAAATACGCATGCGTAAAAACAATGCCGTTAATACCGTTTCTCCTGAAAGCTCAATAGAGGATCGGTTTATACTTCATTTGTGATTGAATTTATATAAAAAAAGGACCACGTGTGTCTGAGCGGGAGGCTGGCCACCTCTCACACAGATTAAGCTTTATATAAGAGAGTGCTTTGTAATCTCAAGCTGCGTAAAGTTGCAGCTGGATTCACCTGTGTCTATTTAGTCCACCTTTCAGTGTGATGTAATGATGGGAGGCAGGCCCAGCATCAGGACCAGAGTCCTGTGAGCACAGGCCATCAGCAGGAGCACAAATTAACACAAAAATTCAATCTAATTTGATGTGAATGTCACTATAAGAAAGATAAAAGGCAGCGTGTCTCTTCAGTTAGAAAAAATGATGCATCATGATGGACTTAYATAACACTTGGGACAGGAGGAGAGGAGCATATGGCTGATCCAGGGTCAGCAACACCGACTGGACAGAGCTAGCATCTAAAGTGGAATTTTCTTTCTGAGTAGTTCTGGACGGAATAAACATGGAGGGTTTGAGGTTTACGCACCGCGTTGTTTCCATCAAGGAGAGTAAATCCGACTGAAAACTGTTGTCTAATCTGGATTCAGGAGTTCAGGGAGAATCTGAAGTGTTTGCAGCCACAAGTGCTGCAAGCTGCTGCCATCGCGTTAAATCTGAGCCTTAATGCTGCTGCGTGCATCCTTAACTCATCGAGATAAAAAGAAAAAAGAAAATGTAGATTTTGAGCCCCTTAGTGAGATTAGAATGAGCTCTCCAGACTGAGATCCGTCAGATTAGAAATAAAACAGTAACACGAGACGGGGTTCTTACTTTCTCCTCCGCGGGGGCAGCAGGGTGGGCTCCGCGGGGTTTAGGCGGTGGTCCCTCCGGACGGGCGGCATGCTGGGAGCCAAATGAGCGGAGCTTTGTGGCGACGGCGCATTGTGACGTCCCCCCCCCGCGCCGGCCCGGTCCATTTCATCCATCAAGGAGAGGGGTGCGGGTCCTCCCTTAATGTCCCCCTGGCATGTAGTCCTCCGCAGACCCGGTCCTCCCCGCAGCAGCGAGGGGGACGGGGCGGGTGGGGTGAAAAGGGGACGGCTACATCTCCAGCATGTCTTGGCTCCGAGTGGATCAACGTCTCATATACAGCGTCCAAGACCCTCCCCTCTCGTGAATCAGGCTCTCCCCTCCCTCCCTCCCTTCCTTCGAGATTTTTTTTTTTTTTTTTTTTTTTTTTTGTATTATGCAAGAGGAAAAGCTGCAATCGCGCGACGGACCCTATAGCAGCGCCTCTCACGCCCCCCAACAGGCGCGTGTAGAAGTGCAGCACCATCACCATCATCCAGCACGACCCGCGCAGATCGCTCCTTTTTAACAGTGGAGAGCTGTGGGATTATGCCGCCGGGAATACAGCCACAATTAATCCAAATGTTTATTTTTTATCGACCTACATACAGTCTATAGGTTTTATCCTATTTTAGAGCTGATTCTAGGCCAATACAGGTGCATTTATCTGTACAACAGACAGGAGGGCAGGAACACTTTCTAGTTATATGAAAAATTGCGCGTTTTGGATCGGCCTATATGGCTAAAAGTTATCACCAATCCAGATTATCGTTTTTATTTTTTTAATCAGTAAAATCTCTGTACAAATAAATCCATAAATAAAGTTATATGTTGCTGTTTAAAGGGATAATCCAACATTTAATCCATTGTGTTGCGCGCAGCAGGTCAGAGTTCATCTCCACGTTGCAGGTTGTCTCCTCGTTTCTGCTGCGCGCGCTGCTTTCAGGTGCGTTATCATCATCATCATCATCATCATCATCATCATCTGTTCACCAACAGGTAGCGCGCTCACATGTGAGAACTGCGCGCGCCTCACGAAGCTCGGCTGCAACTTTTAACGTGCATGTCAGTGTTAGCAAAATATCTGATGGACCACAGGACAGATTTTCAGTGATCTTTAGGTGCGCATCTACAGCTGATTAATGTTTAGAGTCAAACAAGTAAAGATGGCCGCCACAACTGATTTTAGAAATGATAAAAATGAGCATATGTTAATAATCTTAGCAGTCTTTGACTTAAAAGTTGTGTTATCTGTAACACAAACTCTAACTGACCGCCTGAGATCACGCAATATGTGAGATTGCGCAAAACTTATCCCGATCCATTGATACAATGACTTATCCACAAAATTTGACCAAAACGGCAAGTTGTTGACCTAAAAAGATAATTCTTTAAAAACTGAGGTTGCATTTAATTGCAAGTGACGTGATCATAAATAACCAGAGTACAAAAAAAAGTCTCTGTCTCCTGTTGCATTTTTATTGTTCCAGGTGAAAATAAGTTCCTCAATCTGTGCGCCAATGGGAATTCTACTTAAATTATATTTATTTGGTGTGTCTAACAAACTTTCTACAGTTAAATAAATTAATATTCTCCAACTTTATTTGAGAACTCTGTAAAGTTTCTTCAGAGGCGTGAGAAGCAGACAGAACTAAAACCTCCATTATTTACTGCAGCCTGAATCAGGTGTGTGTGTGTGCGTGCGTGTGTGCGTGTGTGTGTGTGTGTGTGTGCGTGCGTGCGTGCGAGAGAGAGAGAGAGAGAGAGAGAGAGNGAGAGAGAGAGAGAGAGAGAGAGAGAGAGAGAGAGAGAGAGAGAGAAATCTTTTCAACATGTGTCGCGCCAATATTCAAATCAGGGTTTGAACGTGAGTCTGATGCTGCAGAGGTTTGTATAGATATCCAACAGTTTCTTGAAGCCAATTTAGTCTTAATTTTAATGGTAAATGATGAAGTTATCTGGTGCAGGGTCATATAAAATATGTAGATTATTTGTCAAGTTCATGGTCTGGGGAGTGAAATTTAACATGAAGTTTGATTTATAAATATCACAGATCAGATTTTGATTTCTTCTTGTTGTGTTTGTTTAAAAGATAAAGAAGTTCAACTTGCTTGAAATGCTTCATATTCATGTTTAAAATTTCAAAAAGTTATATATTTAAAGCTGCTACATTCAACAGTGGTTAAGGAGAAACTCTGCACACAAGAAGAACAGATTAATAATTATTTACAGTTTTTTAATACGCTGTAATTTATATGTTACTTTTATCACTTGTTTACTCATCATTCAGTTGTTGTTTTTAATTATTTTTGGACAAGTTTTGAGAAATGTTGGAAGATAAGAAAGGCTCTTTTAAATGTCAAAAGCCTTAAAGTGTAAAGATGTTTTCAAAAAGGTTTATTCTCACCTAATCAACAGTGTGACATATCTCAACGCAATAAAAATGTCTTGATGAAAAAAAAAGTTATTTTTTCGGTTAAATTTATAATAAATATAAGACAAATTAAAAATCCCTTTTCATTGTTTGAACTGACATTTGATTACAAAGTGAAGCCAATAAAGACAAAATAAATTAAATAAGAAAATCATTTTATGCTGTAAAATTCTGTAAAATGTCACATTCTAAATTATTTTAAGTGGCTTATGGAAAATATATCATTTTAAAAAGATCATTAAACAAAATCTGAAATGTCTGTGCTTCTAACAGGAGCTGATTTTAAAACCAAATTTACAAAAAGAGAAAGTTAGTTGTGAAACCTAGTAGGTTTTGTTTGTTTGTTTGTTTCCTGACAGGAGGAGGTTTAAATATCTGCACCTCAGGAGGGATTTTGAAACCTGCAGCCTCTGATTTATATTTATTTATTATATTAATTTAGCTAAATCTCTGCATGAATGCTATTATTTCACTGAAAGTGAGATTTATATAGAAAAATTGGAGTTCTCTAATTTTGTGGATTTATTTTAATTAATATTGGGGAATATTTTCACAACTCTAATCGTTATTGTTTTTTAATGATCATTAATCAAAATCCCATGTTTTCAGATAATTTATCGTTCTCTTACATGTTTGGATTTACAATCAGAATCAGCAGCACAAATGACATCATRTGACTTGGTCAACAGTCATTTGTATATCCAGGCAGATGCAAGTTTGTGTTTTTAATGTACAAAAAATGTTGATGCGGGATGAGTTGAGATAAGTTGATAAATTGGTATTTTATAAAAAGGCTAAAAAGTGGGTTAAAAAGAGAAACATTGGTGAACCATTTCCCCCATTGCCTTTTTAGTTAATTAAAGGACTTGAGACTAAATCGAGCAGAAAAGAAACAGTTTTGTTTTTTCTTTTCTGTTGCTGCCATCTGGTGGACATATTATGTATTACAGCCTCATGACCCATCAGCCCAAACACTCAGGTACCTTTTTTTCTGTAATTTATTTGTTTATTCAATTAAATATTTGTTCAGATTATTTAAAAGTTTGACTTTAGCCAATAAAATTTACTCTGCTCTCAAATTCAAAACCCAAAAAGGTTTTCCTCCTTTTCAGCCCAGGATGAAGACCAATAACTTCTGTTGTCATTTTGCCTACGATTAGTTATAACTCAAAGTAAATGTTTGTTAATTTAAACTCCTTTAATCTGAGTAAAATTAATAATCCAGTGAATAAAAGTCCACATAAACTGATAATAGTTTTAGTTTTGGGAACTTTATTTTTTTGTGTGTTTTTAACAGTGTGAATTAAGTCATTATTACAATTTTAGGACATTTTTCTTCTGACTCTCAAGAAAACGACATTTATCAAGAAAAAATAATGAATTACTCTTCTGAGACAAACAAGCATAAAAAATAAAACCATCACTTATTATTTATTTATTCATTTTTTGATATATTTCCAAGAAGACAAAGATTTTCTCTGTTCGTTTTTGACTTTTTCTACTTTTTTTCCTCCTGTCCCTGAGCTCACGTGATACCTGATCCAGTGAGCAAGTCATTTAGTCTTAAAGAGGCTCCACCCAAACCGGTTTAAAATAGTATTTCAGCACCAACAAGGTGATTCCCTTAATGTGATGTATTTAAATGGTGGAGGTTGAGTTTCCAAGAAGTAGGAAATCTTTCAACCTGGAAGCATTATCGACTTACAGTAAATATGTTCTGGAAGATTTGTGACATTTCTAAAAGCAGCTGGGTGTTTTTTTCTTTGACTGTTACAAGATAATCAGAAAAAGACAAAACTTCTCATTCTGAACACATCTGATGCTGGAAACAAACCCTGTGAAGAGACGAACCTTAAAATAGATTTAGCTCTAATTAAAGACGTGTTTGGGCTTCATGGGAAGAAGCTGTGAAGCACGAGGTGGATCAGTCCTGCCAACATCCCATTATCAGCTGAAAAAACTGAACACAAACAGAGGAATGTTTCAATAACAGAATCCTGAATGCACCTTCTCAAAAGCGATCACCGTGATGTTTTATTGGCCCTACAACCCCCAAGTCATTAAAAACAGGCCTTAAAAGAGCAGCGCACAAGATGGCCGAAGAATCTCGCAGAATAAGGACAGTTTTAGGAAGAAAAGCTGAAAATCCTCAAAGGAGGAAGTGAAAGACTCCCAKCTTACAGAAAGTGAGGGTGATAAAAATGCTGACATGCAGGGTGTGAAAGTTCTGCTTTGAGCTCTTTACTAGCTTTGAAGCTGCAGAAAAAGGAAACAAAAGAAGTGAACAGAACATCATTAAAAAGGGTTTATGAAAATAAACTCATCCATTGATCTGAAAACAACCAAAGAAAGACATCCAGAAAGCCTGAAAAAATTGTTGTGATCCAAAAGACAAAAAAAGTAGAAATAAATGATGAATTAGGATTTTTGCACAGTAAAATCTTGATTTTTCTTTTCTAAAACGTAACCGAAGTGAACAGCTGAGATTTGTTTAATATGATAATTTATCTTAGACAATTTAATTCCATGTTATTATTTATTATTAAAATTTAACAACCTAAATGTGATGAAAAAGTTCACAAATCAGCATCAAAATGAGCAAACATCAGCTTTTAGCCTGGTTCTGTTTACATTTATTTATAAAACAGGGACAAACAGCTTTAATAAGGAAGCAAACTACACGCGTGGAAAAAATGTCCCTACCCCTCATTTAATGAAAGAAAACCCCACAATG